CCCCAAAACCCCAAAACCCCAAAACCCCTAGCCATAACCCCTTCTAAAAGTACTATAATTTATAATAATTCCCTATGGCTTCTTTCCTACTGGCTCTGTCCAAGTCTTGGACTAGATTTTGCCAGTGCTTGAAAGCTCCAATAGAGTCTGAAAGACTCCTTTGAGTCTTTGAATCCATGGAAGAGTAGATTCCAAGGGTTTTATGCAGCAGGAATTATATATCTGCATCTTTTGGGATTTACCCAGCAGTCGTCTAGATCGGTTCTAATGTGAAGAAGGGTGATTAAGTTCATAATAATATATTTAGTACGCTTTTGTCATTACTTTGAGGTATTTTGCATTCAAGTGCGGCTATTTATAGTAAGGTACAACCTAAAAGAATTCTGGATGATTAGCAATACTCATTCTAATTGTCCCCCTCTATACTGACATTGTTTCTATGGATTATCTGTAACATCTGAATGGACTTATTGTAACTAGTTATGAGAACGACACAGGTTACCTTTCAGACTTTATTCCAGTGAATACTAGCAAACTATCCTGAGAATCAATCCTGGAGATCAAGTATTTATTCAATCAATCCTTGTAGACACTGAAATTCCAATAATATGGCATCTCCCTGTATTTCGTAGATAATATATACAATTGGAAATAAAACTTGGAAAAGCACGCTTTTGAACAACTAAAAAAAATGCTCAAGCATTATTGCTTAGGTGAAACCAAAGCAAATGACATCGGATATCATTGAGCTACAAATGATCAAGCAATTGGACAGAAGCAGGGAGGGTAATGAAGGTCCTTGTTGTAACCTCACCAATGTTTATATAGTACTATTCTTCTTCCAGATCCTCATAGCTCACAGATAATTTTATTGTAATAGACTTTGATTCTTCCAATATCATGTGTACAGTCAGAGAATTCATGGATTATTAAATTACAAGAGAATTTTTATAGTGTAAGACAGTTTTCTTATTCAAACAAAAAATTCGATGCCTAGACTTAGCAGCTTTAATCATGTTACAGTCATTCTCTCAATAGAGAGTAAGATATATAAAGAATGGGCCATCCTTTAAACTGTCAGAATGGAAAGTTATATGCTTTAAGCATATCTCAACTGGACTATTACTCTTAAAAACCAACAGCCTAAATGAGTAAACTGTTTTTCCTTTGACTCATAGAACAGGGGAAACCAAATTCCTTAATCCAGTACATGCCCCAATGGTATGTAAGTTAGGGACTATCCACATCTTTGGGACAATATTCTCCTTCTTTCTAGCTTATGAAGTCCTATACATATATTTTGCTTAAGAAAGGTGCATCTTCATTGTATCTTAATAAACCGTGGCTGCTCATTATGACAGAGACGTAGAGAAACAAGAGAGAGGAAGGCTTAGTTCTAAAATATATCTAAAATTTTCAACAGACTTGTGACCATAAGGGGTTTTGGGGTTTTGGGGTTTTGGGG